TTTCCTAGATTCATACTTCGTACATTCCATTTTCCTATTATTAATGGATGTTTGCAGCTACTTCTTCTCATTTTGAGTCGTGCCACATTAACATATGAAGGTCCTGAAAGCTTGACTCCATCCAAGTCATTAACATTGAGTCTACTTTGAGGAGGCAGCTCTTCCCTACTCACATTTTGAGTGACTTCCAACCTGAGAGGCTCATCTTTGGGCACTATATCAGACAATGGTCCGCTGCTACTCATACATTTTTACTGGCTAATTTTTTTCGAAAGTAGAATGTTAGGTCCTTCTTCCTAGTCTGTCTTAGTCTGGAAGCTCAGCTGAAACACGTCCTCCATGGGTGACCCTGCTGGTATTTGAATACCGGTGGCATAGCTTCCAGCAACACAGCAACATGCCAGCCCCCACACAGTACGACAAATTGACAGACGCTTGGGGGAAAATTACTAATAGCAATACAAATATAACAGAATTTGTTCCAAATTCTGCATCCATTCCTTGCAGTAGTAAAAATAATGGCGTAGAAAGTGAAACTATTTTAGAATCTGAAATTGTCGAATCCGCAGACCCTGTAAATAACTGAAATACAGATTCTGCTTTGTGGAATAATTTTTCCTCTAATGATGTAAATTACTGGATCAAAAGAGGGCCAAGTAATTGTCACGATCACAGTGGACCATCTGAAAATTTATGGATGGTAAACAAACAAGGTTCTGTATCCAGAATATATTTCTAGGGTGAAAAGCTAATGATAAGAATTATAAGAGGAGGTGGCTACTCTATTCTCCATCAGTCAGCTCTGTATATTGTTTTGTTTGCAAACTATTCAGTCCTAAATCATTTTAATCCTCGATTTGCTACAGACAGATTTAGCGATTGGCACAACTCGAATATGATTGATAAACATGAAAACAGTTCAATACACAGTGATTGTATGTTGTTATATTTAAACCGAAGACATGATTTCGGCTGAACTAATGAACTGGAAACACAAATTTTTGAGAACATGAGTATTGGAAAGTTATTTTGCAAGGCATTGTTGCTGTCATTATAACAATCGCTGAATGTGGACTATCTTTTCGAGGAAGAAAGGAAGTGGTTGGATCCCCACAAAATGGAAATTGCGGGGGGTTTACTTGACTTGTTGCTCAGTTTGATCCATTTTTAGCAGGTTACATCTCAAAATATGTTAACACAAGAAAAGGCAATCCATCGTATATGTCTAAAATAATGTGTGAAAAATTAATAAACTTAATAAGTGATAAAGCTTGATCAACTATTTTCAGTGAAATAATTATAGATCGATATTTCAGTTTGGCTGTAGATTTCACTCTGATCTTTCTCATACAGATCAGCTAAGTATTGTTTTAAGATACATAGCTCCAATAGATGGAAAAGTCATACCGGTGAAGAAATTGCAGATCAAGTACTTCACTATTTATGTGAAGTCTGCAAAATTGATTTTCCTAAGCACAGAGGCCAGTCCTATGATAATGCTGCCAATATGTCAGGGCGTTATAAAGGCATGCAACAGAAAATTTTAGAGTGTAATGAATATGCCATTTTCAAACAATGTGCTGCGCATTCACTTAATCTTGCAGGATGTAGCGCAGTAGATTGTTTTCCAAAAGAAGTTGATTTTTTTCCCTACTGTTCAGTTATTCTATACATTTTTTGCAGCTTCTACTCACCGATGGGCAGTTTTTAAAACATATTTAGGCAATGATTGAGTATTAAAATTTCTTTCTAATACATATTGGCAAGCGCATGCTGTAGCACCGAGAGCCATCCTGGAATCGTACACTCAGATTCTAGCTGCCTTAGAAAATATTGCTGAAGACCAGACACAAAAAGGAGACACCAAAAGAGAAGCTGAGAACATCGCCAACAAAATGCAAACAGCAGAGTGTGCATATATGTTGCTTTTGTGGAAAAATATATTGCAGAGTTTTCATTGGATGAGTCAAGCTCTCCAAGATTCAGAAGTAAATTTAAAGAGATGCACAGGTCTCTATTAGTCATTAACAGCGTGTCTTAGTTATCTAGTACTGCTATAACTGAAATACCACAGGTGGATGGCTTTAACAAACAGGAATTTATTTTCTCACAGTTTAGGAGGCTAGAAGTCTGAATTCAGGGTGCCAGCTCCAGCGGAAGTCTTTCTCTGTCTGTTGCCTCTGCAGAAAGGTCCTTGTCGTCAATCTTTCCCTGGTCTAGTGGATTCTCAGCACAGGGACCATGGGTCCAAAGGACACGCTCTGCTCCTGGCTCTTCTTGCTTGGTGGTAATGAGGTCCCTCCCCTCTCCGCTGGCTTCTCTCTTTCATATCTCAAAAGAGATTGACTCAAGATACAACCTAATCCTGTAGATTGAGTCCTGTCTCATTAACATCATAGAGGCTAGGATTGATAACACCTAGGATAATTAGGTCAGATCACGAAACAGAGGACAAGCACCCAATACTGAGAAGCATAGCCTAGTTAATTTGACCCACATTTCGGGGGGACACAATTCAATCCATAGCGCAGAGCATTTACATAATTTAAGAGAAGATTTTGAAAACTTTGAAAACACAACAAAACAAATGGTGCCAAATACTGATCATTAAGCAGTTCGCCTTCGCAGAAGCATTAGAAAGAAACGAGTATATGATGCAAGTGCTCCAGGAGTATCATTGAGTGGCAGAGAGCGATTCTGGTAACCACATACTACATCATCGACACACTTGAATCCTGCATGAAACGAAGGGCTGAAGTGTATGCAGTTCTTTCAGATAGATTTTGCTTTTTAAAGACCGTGGCCATACCTGGTGAAGAGCGCATGAAGGCATCTAAGAAATGAGCGCAGGTTTACCCCGGTGACTTAAATGCAAACCTTTACTGAGAAGGGCGACAATTTCATTCTTACATGAGAATTAAGTTTACAGATTCAGGAAAGACATTTTACTCGTGTAGGCACGTATGATTCAATAATAGAAGATAAAATACAACGCGTATTTCCCAATGTTGAAATTCCTTGACACGTATCCCTAACTTTAATGACCACAAACTGCACAACAGAACGATCATTTTCATCCCTAAAGAGACTCAAAAACCCTCACTGGACAAGACTCGATTCATTATCCTTATTACGTGTGGAAGTAGATATTGTTCAGCAGCTTAAGTGTGATGAAATTACCGAAGAGTTTGTAAGAGCAAAGAATAGAAAGAAATGTTTTTAATTATAGTATGTTAGAGATGATTTATCTAAAAATAAAATACGATAATTTGTTGTAATATTTGTTTTCTGATCATTAAATTTCTTTTACAGTATCTTTTGATTTGTTCATTTATAATTATAGCATTTATTACAAAACAAGTATCAAAACTGAAGTATGAGCCATTTAAAGCAAAGCTGGCGAAGGGTCAATTTTTCGTTGTAGGAGATCAACAGAATTTTACACTGCTTGTTGAAACAACTAAGTTCACTGACTTATGTTCTTTGTTGTAGAATATGTGGAATATTCTTTTTGTAGAAAATGCGGTCGCTTAGTACCCTGCATTCACTCAAATTTTATAATCCAGTTAATATCGTTCAGCTAAAATGGCATAGATCACTTTTGCGTTCAATCGCTAATATTATAGTTGCATTTTAAAAGAAGTTACATGGTGATAGCTCAGACACACACATATATACACATGTATATATATAACTCACATGTCCCGTTGGAATGCATGAGTAAGCAGAGGAGGGGGCATCACCGGTTATCAATGCTTAGGGCCCTCACATGCCTTAATCCGGCCTTGTACCCACAGTTTTCCCCATCTGAGCCTGCGCCGTCCTAGACCCCGTCTGACCAGGAACCTGGAGGTCATGTGATTCCTCTCTCTCACACCCACCGCCCATCCCACAGCAAATCCTAGGGGCTCTCCTGCACCCAGAAGCCACCCTCGCCCCTCCACACGCCCTGGTTGGAGCCACGCTCCTCTCGTTCCCCTGGTCTCCCTGCTTCCACCCTCACCCCTTTGGTGTGTCCTCCAGCCCCTCCGCCAAGTGTATTCACAGCCCTGCGAATCCCCCCTCAGTTCACAGTAACAGCCGTCCCTGCTCCCTCTCCCAGCTCCTGGTCGCTGTCCCAGCGCTCCAGTCACGCGGGCCGCCTTGTGGTCCTAGTGCACCTCGGAGCCTTTGCCCTAGCTGTCACCTCCGATGCTCTCCAGTCTCCAAAGGCTTCAGCTCCCCCTTCCTTCCGTGGCCACCCCGCCGCCCCAGCCCCCTGGCCCGGCTTTTCCTCTGAGGCTCTGATCACCGTCTGTGACCTGAGCACAGCAGCGCCCTCCTCCAGCTTCCCTGTCCTGGCCACTTCCCCCCCAAGCCCAGGCCCTGAAATCTCTGCCCTCACGCTGTGCAATTCTGGAGGGACCCCTGGAGGTCTCGGGCCCCTCGCGGCCTCGGAACCTGCTCAGTCCAGGCTCGCAGGCGCTGTGGCTGTTGCGGGGACAGGGCGCGACCCCTGGCCCCAGACAACTCCGGAATGGATGGCGCTGTCCGCGAGGAGCGCCCTAAACATCCAGACTGCCTTGGCGGATCTCAACAACTAGGTGGAGGGCCGAGAGGTCAGGCAGGCAGCGGGAAGAGCTCGTGCAAAGGCCCAGGGCTCCCAGCGAGGGCTCAGGAGGCTGCAGACGGCTCCCAGCGCCGGAGATGGGGAGGCTCAGGGCACCTGCTAGGGTGGTCCAGCTGGGCACGGTGGGCGGCGGCCAGGAGGCAGCCAGGGTTCCGAGCCGCGCCAGTCCCGCCGCCTCCGCCGCCGCGCCGCCGACCCGAGGGGCGGCACCAGGGGGGCGGGCCTGGACCAGCCCCGGCACCGCCCGGACAGGGCGGAGCTTGGGCCCCGGGCCCCGCCCCACCCCGGCAGCGCAGGCGCCGCCGTCGGTTCCCAGGGCAACCGGAAAACAGCTCGAGCGGTGTCTGCGGGCCGGAACCTAGGGTGGCCCGGCGTCCGGCGAGCAGCCGGCATGTGCTCGGCGGAGATGGACCCGCACGTCGCGCAGAGATACCTGCCCAGGCGGCGGCTCGGCAAGGGCGTGAGCGCCGGGGACGCGGGGCGTCGGGGAGGGGGCGCAGCTCCGTGGGAGAGGCCAGTGCGGGCCGCGAGCGACTCCTGGGCCCACGTCCTCCTCCTCCACCGACTGGGCATGCCACCCCACCGCTCTGCGCCTCAGTTTCCTTACTGGGTAGCAGACGCTAACAGTGCCTACTTCCAGGGGACCTGTCAGGGGCCTGGCTCCGGGCGGCAGGTGGCAGTCGCGGTCCTCGGAGGTCTCGGGCCCAAGCGATCCTGTTGCCCTCCCAACACCGTCCCCTCCTCCCAGGCCGCCTCTTCCTTCACCCACAGGACGCCCCGGGGAGGCCAGGCCCGTCTGCTTCAGTCGATAAGAGGGGAGTGAATCCCAGCCTTAGGCTGGCAGGGCTCCCCGACCCAGGAAGCCCTGAGATACTGAGTGTGACCGTGGGGGGGGGGTGCGGGGGGGTAAAGGCGAAGGAAGAGCATTCCAGGTGTGAAGGCCCCAAGGCCAGAACCTGCTTGGCTGATGGGGAAACAGCGGAGCTGCAGGGCTGGAGCGGAGTGAGCCGGGGAGTGATGAAGGGTCCCGCTGTGGGGGACTTCAGCTTTTACTCTGAGTGACAGGCTAATTTAGATGGCTTACTCTGCCACTCTGTTGAGGATAGACTATGAGGGGCGGGCAGGAGGGGTGGTAGGAAGTAGTCGGGAAGGGAGCCACCAGGACCGGCTAGATGGGGTCGTGAGAGGTGAGTGGCTGTCCCCCAGGCCAGGGCCAGGTTCAGCCTCCTGCGAAGATCTTCCCATCTTTGACCTCATTTCCTCCCAGACCCCCCCCCCACAGCCTCCCCATGGAAGCCTCCGTGTCTCACCCCCTCATCTCCCTTGATCCCATCACCCCCCTCAGGAAGGTGCCAGAGTCCCAGGCAGCAGGCTGGGCAGCCTGCAGTTGTGAGGTGGGGTCCTCGCCCTTCACTACAGCCCCTCACCACACCTCTGGCCCTCCCAGGGCCCCAGAGCCGGGGAAGAGCAGAGCCTTCGGTCCGCTGGGGACAATCTGGGTGGGTAGGGGATGGCTGGACAGGAGGCTGACCCTGTGCCCAGCAGGTGACTGCCCCTCCCTAGGCCTATGGCATTGTGTGGAAGGCGGTGGATCGGAGAACTGGCACGGTTGTGGCCATCAAGAAAATCTTTGATGCCTTTAGAGACAAGACCGATGCTCAGGTGAGTGATGGGGAAGAGTTGGGGGGCGTGAGGGCAGGTGAGTGATGGGGAAGGGGGGGTGAGGGCAGGTGAGTGATGGGGAAAAGGGGGGCTATGGGCAGGTGAGTGATGGGGAGGAGTGGGGAGTGAGGGCAGGTGAGTGATGGGAGGAGTGGGTGAGGGCAGGTGAGT